ATGGCAGCTTTAGTAAGAATACCATTTGGTTTGTGGAACATTTTTAAAACCTTATTCTAGCTCCTTAAAAACAGCTTCAGTTTATTGGTTCCATTTGTAAAACAGTACTGATGTTTTCCCCAGAAGGATCCCAGCCCATTAGTACATGCGAGTTTAATGCCTGCAATTCAGGGCATTAGTGTCACAGAGCTGCCATAACAAGGTACAGTGAGAACTGGATGGCTCAAGAAAACAGACATTTATTCTCTCTCAGTTCTGGAGGCTAGAAATCTGGAATCAAGGTTGCAGCAAGGTCATGTTTCTGCTGAAGACCTTAGGGAAAAAGCAGCCATGTGTCTCCAAGCTTCTGGAAGCTCTGGGCAACACTCAGCATTCTTTGACTTGTGGCTGCATCACTCCCATCTCTGCCTCCTTCTTTTTACTGCCTTCATTCCTGTGTCTCTTTGTTCTCTGTATCCAGGCTCCCTTGCCTTTCTCTTCTGAAGACACTAGTCAGTGGATTTAGGGCCTACCCTAAACCAGTGTGACCCCATCTTAACTTGTCTGCAAAGACCCTATTTCCAAACAAGGTCACGTTCACAGTGATTGGGGATTAGGACCTGAACTTACCGTTTTGGGGGACACAATTCAATCCACTACACAGTCTCAGCTCGCTGGCAGGAGCTATAGACTCTCACCCTTGAGCCCCAGAGAAAATTCTAGAACTTCAGTTACTTTTAGTGTGAAGATTCGTCTAAAATCAGGGCAACCCAAAGTGAGTTTTTTCTTTAAAGCAATAAGAAACAAAGCTACAGACCAATAAACACTTAGCACACCTCTTACTGTAGGTGAGTGTAACCAAAAATCATGATTCTGAGTAAAGTATAAGTATACTTGTCAGTTGATTAGTAGCTTAGATTTTCTGAGAAAACTGAAATTGGTTTCCAGAGCATATCTTGGAAAATATCACCACAAAACAAACCTTTTAAAGGCTATCCTAGTATAGACTTGCTCTTGGGAGAAAAATCCTGTGTTCAGATATCCTGCCTGTCTTGGCCAAAGGTGACCCCAGTGAACAGAGAGAATAAAATGTTCATAATTCTGGCCCTACCTTAGAAGCCAAGAGAAGGATGATACACTGTAGACAGGAAGGGTGTACTTAGGCCTTTCCATTTTTCTCTAAAGGTGAAATATATAAACCGTTTCTTTTGCATTTTATTTTCTACTGCTTGGTTGTGATTCTTTTTTTAAAAAGAATTAAATTGTGGCAAAACACACATAACATAAAATTTACCATCTCAGCTGTTAAGTGTACAGTTCAATAGTATTAAGTACATTCACATTATTATGCAACCGGTCTCCAGAATTCTTTTCATCTTGTGGTTATTTTTAATGAGGTGTGATGAGCGCTGCATTTCAACATAACTGATTAAAGCAGGAGCAGTTTACGTGCTGTCATTTAGATATATCTGCAGGTCCCAGCAGCGGCCCTCTCCCCTTGCTGGTGCATGGCCACCTCCGCCTTCCCTGCAGAGAGAAAAGCCACATCCTGTGGGCAATAAAAACACATGGGCGGCACCTTCCACAGGGGTAGAGCACAGTCTCCTGGGAACTGGGAGGGGGCTCAGGAGATCAGGAGGAAGTTGCAGGGTGGGCGGTTGGGGTGTCAGGAGAGGGGAGGCATGCTAGCGTCTTTGGTAACCTGTCCCTACTTGCTTCCAGGTGAACATGACGACAGATTTGGAAGGGAGTGACATGTTGGTGGAAAAGGCAGACCGGCGGGAGTTCATCGACCTGTTGAAGAAGATGCTGACCATAGATGCTGATAAGAGAGTCACTCCGATCGAAACCCTAAACCACCCCTTTGTCACCATGACACACTTACTCGATTTTCCCCATAGTACACAGTAGGTGTCCTCCTGCTCGGTGCTTTATACTTGGGGTCAGAAAACTTTTTCTTTAAAGGCCCAGACAGTAAATATCTCAGGCGTTGCAGCCGTACAATCTCTGTCACAGCTACTCAGCTCTGTCACCGTAGCTAAAAGCAGCTGTTGATGTAATACATAAACAGAGGGGTGAGGCTGCTTTTCAATAAAACATTTATAAAAATGGGGGATGACTAGATTTGGGGACCTGGGCCACAGTTGGCTTTATACTGAAAGGAGGGAACAGTGGGGCACAGGAGAGCACAGAGCTGCATGAACCGGTTCTGGGTGTCTGTGCAGGGAGGGAGGTTTCTAAAACAGCAGTGTCTGTGGAGCGAAGGTTATTACTCCCAGAACCATCCTGGAGTGGGCTTGGTCTAGTTTGGATTTGGATTTGTTCGTTCATTTATTCAGCGTGCTGTGTGCTGGGGTACAGTGGTAAGCAAAGCAGATGGGGCCTCTGCCCCCATCTGTCCAAAGGGGACAGAACGGCATAAAACAAGTGATGCCCCGATCACCAGGCTGTTACTGGAACGATCACAGGGTGCAATGAGAGCCTGTCTCAAGGGAGCCTTCCTTGTGGCAAGCCAGGAAGATCCTGAGGAAGTGACCCGTGAGGATGAGGAAGAAGAGGGCGTGGGCAGGCAGGGCGTTGCCTTGTGTGGACACTCTGCCACGGGCAGGGCTGTGCACCCGACTTGGGGGACAGTGGGTGAGACAATGAAGTGTAGGCATGAGCTGGGGACAAGCCACACATGTTAAGGGTTTTAGTCTTGATCCAAGGAGCAATGGGAAGTCATTAAAGATTTTTAAGCAAGGGAGTACCTGGTTAAGTCGTTGTTGAACAAAGATCTATCTGCTGCCACACAAGCAAGATGAGTCTGGAAAAAATGCCTGTTGGATTTAGCAACTCGGAAGTTGTTGGTGACTTAGTGACAGCCGTCTCAGTGGAATGGCAGAAGCAGAAGCCAGCTTAGCAGAGGCAAAGAAACGGACAGCAGCCTTTCATCAAGTGAGGCCGGGAAAGGGAAGAAAAGAATAGAGGGGGTACCAGGGAAGGGGTCGAAGGGGATCGTTTTTAAGACGGAGGAGACTTGAGCAGCGGCAACATGGCCGAGGTGCTGGGTTGGAGAGTTCCTTGGCCGTCCCCTAGATGGTGCTGGTGAGTCAGGGTAGTTGGAAAAGGTGCGCACAGGAGCGAGTTGTCTTCGGGGAAGTGGAGGCAGGTTGTAAGCTGCTGTTCAATATTCCCGCTTAGAGGGCTTACATGTTGGTTTATGGGCCAGAAACCACATGGAGAGTTGAGAATGAGCAGTGAAGCTGTAGTCAGATTAGTGACATGAGGAGAATGTAGGGAGAGCAGTCTGGTCTGTTGTGACATATGGAAGATTTCCCTATACAGGATGGAGAGAAAGGGTCATAGGACGTTGGGGGAAATTCATGTAAATAACCTTGACTCTTTCAAATGCATAGACTTTGCAAGAGAAGTCCAGCAAACTTAGACCTAAAGTTTAGTTTCCCTGGTTGTCTTGTTTCCTAGATTAACCGTTCCCTCCTTTTCTTTCTCCGTTTTTTCCCCTTTATCCCACATTACCCTCTCACCTTCCCCTTACGTCTCTATATTCCTCTGCCTTCTGCACAAACAGCGTGAAATCATGTTTCCAAAACATGGAGATTTGCAAGCGTCGGGTGAATATGTATGACACGGTGAACCAGAGCAAAACCCCTTTCATCACACACGTGGCCCCCAGCACGTCCACCAACCTGACCATGACCTTTAACAACCAGCTGACCACTGTCCACAACCAGGTAAGTGGGGAGTAGAGGGGACAGGTTGGGGGGGTGCTGCGAGGCAAGAGCACCAGGACTCGTACTTTCCCACCGAACCTAGGCAGAGACGAAATTCCTCTACTGTCCTGTCCAACTGTGTAAGAAAGTATTTGCTGCCGGCGTTATTTCCTTCGGGAGATGCAGGTGCTCTTTGGATTGACCACTGGCCCCACCGAAAGGTCACAGAAGAAACTTGCAAAGGGAGTTCTTTCCGCTTTCCTCTGCCCTGCTGTGGGAATAGGGTGACGGAGTCGCTCTGATCCTCTCATGCCTGACATCTGCCTGGTAAAGAATTCTAGAACTGGAAGGGACTCAGGTGATCACCCAGTTCAGGTCCCTCCCCTTGACCCCACACTGCTGGATCCACCTGATCTCCTTTCAGGACAGACAAAACCTGTCCTTTCTCCAAGTCGTGGGGAAAATCATTCTGTCACCAGAATCCCAGCAGCTGAAACTAAAAGGAACCAGGAAACTAAGATTTTCTTCTCACAGATTTCCAACTTTTGCAGAAAATGGGCAGAATCCCGCAGCTAACATACTGCTTGAAACATGGGTGACACCCAGGAAATATTTACTGAACATATAATCTCCGAGTCCTAGCTCAGAATGACACTAGTATCTAAGAGACTTTTACTCCCATCTTCCCAGATCCCCCGAAGAAATGTCCCTAGATTTTTCAGTCTTAATATCAATCTGCAATGACAACACTCCTGTGTCTGTATGCGTACACACACACACACACACACACATACCCTCCAGAGGAGAGGAGTGTTTATGTTGTAAACCTGAAGTGTCAATACCTTCATCTGGCTGCCTACTGTTTTAGACAGGTCCCCTCCCGTCACCAAAGAGCCAGTGACTCCTGCTTTTCGGCTGCTCCCCTGACCACCTGGTTTCTCTAGGCTACTCACGTAGCATGTCGGGCTGCTAAGGCTACGCTTTCCTTCCCAGCCTGCCATCTGTCCCCCGGCTCAACTCCTAGGAGAGGCCACCCGAAGTCTGCTGCCCCCTGGGGGCCACTAGTGTTCCTGAAGCTCTCCTTTTGGTGAAGAGCTAATGCTCTCTAGTGCTTAAAAGTGCAAAGAAACAAACATTCCTGTCCAGGCCTAAGGCTGTGAGCTTCTTGACAGATAGTCACCGTGGTTTTGTTCATTACCTCCTTGAAGAGTTTGTTTTTCCCATCAGTCCTCAAGAGACACCTGATCTTAAGTCCCTAACCCCAAACTGCCCATCCCCGTCTGCCATCTGTCCACCCCATCCGATATCAAAGGCATCTGAGAAATGGCAGAGGGGAGGGTACGCCTCAGGCATGTGTGTCATGTCGGGTGGAGTGTCCCCATCAGGCTGTCCTTTCTGTGGCTGTCTTTCCACTAGGCCAGAGAACTGTAGTCCTGGGTCCCTGACCATACCAGGGGAGGCCACCTCCATTCCAAAGAGTGTCACAAAGATTCTGCAAAACTAAAAGGGCTTCAGTTATCAAATAAGAACAGCCGTCATCTCCACAGCACCGAGACCATCCACATCTGGCTCGGGCCTGGGGTATAGTAAAAGTGGCTGGTAACTCAGCGCAGTGTGTGGGCCAGAGTCTCAGATAAGAGGAAATGACATCCTACAAAGTCAACGGGTCTGAGAACAGGATTTCCATTCTCTTGCCCTGCATTCTACTGTGCCCTACTTTTGAATACATCAGGAAAAAAAAATTAGGATACACCTAGTCTTAAGTACTAAGCTGTGTTTTCACTCTGCTGATACTGTTATTATTAAATATCATTATTCATAGCTAACATATATTGAACACATTGTATGCCAGACTCTGCTAAGTGTGTCATAACTCTTAATCCTCCCAGTAGCATTTCCAGATAGGTATTATTATTAATAATATCATTTCTATATTAGAGGAGGAAACTGAGTCACAGAGCAACAAAAAGCCTCATACCCAAGGCTACTTTCTTAGTTCGTAAGAGATGACCTTGAGCTTTGAACCCAGCAAGCTAGCTTCAGAATGTAGCCTCTTAAATATATGTACGCACAGCACCAGATAAGTCTTACGGAGGCCCTCGAATGCTTTCCTAGGTGGTGTCTGCTCTTTAAATCCAACAAGACTTCTTTGTTCATTGGTTCTGGTAGCTTGCTTTCTACATGTGTTCTTTGGAGTTGTTTGCCCATGTAGATATTTAGAAGCAATAAAATATATCCATAGTTTTATGTTAGAAGTTTTATATTGAGCTACAGAAACAATTCCTTGCTGCCCTTAACATATATCCAGTAGACTGACCAAAGGACTTTTTCCCAAATGGTCACTAATCCATACTCCTTTACATCTCAAGGAAGCTGGGTCAGTAATCCATAATCCAGTATATCTCAAGGAAGCTGACTTCCTCTACTTTCTAAAACTTTCAGGTTACGCAGTTAGTAACGTATCAAATACGGAGTCCTCCCTTGGGTACTCCTTGTTTGATCCAGTGAATCAGCCACTTCTCTAACATTCCTTGGAATTCTACTGTTTGGACCTAGCCTCTACCAAGGATTTGAATTTGGGTTTATAGGCCAAGCTCAAACCCCTTCCTTCTAGATGTCAAACCATTTTAACATCTACTACAACTGCTTCCAGGAGTCACTTCCTCCATTTTTGGAAAACCCATGTTATCAATAAACTTGCTTTTTCTTATTGTTTCTATTTTTCAGCTGCAACAGCTCTGACCAGTTCTGTCTGTGCCCCTCTCTGACAGGTGATAGGCTAGTTACCTTTCCAAGAGCTACAGAGGATATAGAGAAGTAGAAAAACTTTGTCACCCTCACATGTGCTTCTTCAGCTGATCCTTAAGCAGGATTAGAAACAGGGAAAACCATCTGTGAGTCTAATGGTCACACTGGAGACTGGGCCCGTGTCAGACACAAGTTCCACTTGTCTTTGAATCTGAAAGATTCAATGAGCTGGAAGATTCAGCCTCTCAAGGAGCTCGTGGTCTCCATGGCGAGACAGACCATAAGCAAAATAGATAAATCAAAATGCAGAATAGCAAAATGCAGAGTGGGGCAAGGTAAAACAAACAGGTTGTATGTTGCAGAATCGAGAGGAAAAAGGGACCATTACAAGCTGGAGGAAAACACCAGGGGGCCTCCAGAAGAAATGGTGGTATAAGGAAAACAGAGGAAATGCAAGTCATGTCATCAGTGACAAAACACAGATGCTGATACCCACATGTGCGCATGCGTGTTCCCAGCCATGCTACCTGGAGCGGACCATGTGATGCTGCAAAAACATACACATATTTAAAATCCAAACATGTCCGCCACTTAGTGATTATTTTCAAATAAATTAATTTGCTTTGCAGTGAAATTCAGCACAAAATCTAAGTATATAAAACGTGTAAAATGACTTTGTTCTTTTTGTCATATTTGACATACATACCCTACTTTAAATTCTACTTGTATGTGTGCCCAGGGTATCCTGTGGCTCTTTCCCTCCGTGTTTCCTAGTCCTTGTAAACTTCTAGAGGCAAAACCTCATGTAGACAACATTGAATCTGAAGCTGTTGGTAACCTCCTATCCTGCTGAAGGATCAGTATGAAGAAGGCCAAGATGGGGAGAAACTAGAGAATTCCCACGTTAGAATTTATTTTCCTTCTGCGTCCTTGCGTCACACACAAATTTAGTCTCAAATGATGTCTTTCTCTGTGGAAGAGAAAGGAAAGGACATAATCTGAACAGCTTGTAGCTGTCAAACCCACCTCTGTTTCAGTGCTCTGGACGCACTAGCATCTTTCCTTCCGCTGTCCAGACTTCGTAACTGAACGCCACATAAGTGCACGGAACGCAGACAAGCAGGCCAGTCTGAGCCTGTCTCTCTCCCGCTCTTTGTATGTCTCCTGCGCATCTCTTTGCAGTAACTGCTCTGCAACCATCTCAGGGTATCTGTAAACAGAACTCACCTTAGACCTGAGCAAGCAGGCCCTCCCCGGTCCCCCCTCCGGCTTTCCTGCTGGTGCAGGTACTGCTCTGCCCAGCTCTGGGTACCTGGGCCCTGGGCCTTTAGCGCCTGCAGGAGCCTCTTCCTGGATTTGTCCACCCACTGTGGGAGGATACCACCGTCAGGCCCAAGGGGAAGGAAGTGTGACGTGCAGGCCGGCAGATCCATATATGTGCACCCCAAGCTCTTCGAGTCGTGGGACGGGGCTGGGGCAGGGAGAAGGAAGTCAGGGCTCAGCCGTCCCCGGTCACCATGTGCCAGCGCAGATCCCAAGGCATCCAAGAGTCCTCAACTCAGACCTGGCCTTCCAGGTTGTTGGGAAGGTGTGTTTGTCAGAATAGGAGGGTAGACCATTTCATTGCACAGTTTTCTAGCCTAATTTTAAACTTTTCAGTACTTAGACATAATGATGTGCAGGTGTTTGTCTGTACTCTTGTTTCGGCCCCATGAATGTCAGGAGCAGGTCTGAAAGTAAACACCACGGGGGGTCCTGTGTCTCCTGTGCCCTCAGGTGCCTGCTTTTCCCAAAGACTTTCAAACTGTATTTCTACTCCTCCCTGCTTTTGCTTTTTTGCTCTTAGTTTTTATTTGTTTATTCTTCTTCGAGTTCATTTATTTGGTTCAGATTCGTGTCTCCCAACATACCACCTCCCTCATTTTTTATTTTTGTTTATTTTTTGTTTAATCCCCATCATTCCTTTAGGCTCCCACCTCCACCAGTGCTACTATTTCCTTAGCCAATCCCGAAGTCTCCATACTAAACTACCAATCTGCACTCTACCAGCCCTCAGCGGCATCCATGGCTGCAGTGGCCCAGCGGAGCATGCCCCTGCAGACAGGAACAGCCCAGATTTGTGCCCGGCCTGACCCGTTCCAGCAAGCTCTCATCGTGTGTCCCCCCGGCTTCCAAGGTAAGGACGAGCAGATGCAGCCTCTCGCCTGCTTTCTGCAGGATGACCCCTAGGGCTGCGGCACCTGCAGTTTCCTGTCGCGCTCACTTCCATGGAGGAAAGCCCTCTTCATTTCTTGCAGCGAGAGCATGGGTATCACTGAACTTGAGGGCTCCTGTCCTACTGTCGCCAACCTAGAAACAGGACTCGTGTCTCGTCCAATATTATTCTCACACCTGCCAGGGACTGTGTCCCTAGCCAGCTGTCTGTAAATAAGCACATTGTTTGTGCTGTCATTGTTATGCTGACGTCAACTCTGGCTTTTCTTCACACGAAATAGCCTCTGTGTGGTTCTCTGCAGAAAACTGCCAGTCTCTGACAGCCAGCAGAGCCCCAGTTCACAGGAAGAATATAAATCTGTCTGAAAAGGACCTCCCAGGGCCTCCTCCCAAAAATGATTCTTTGGCCTTGACCCCAAAACTCTTCTTTAGGCCCTAAGATGCTAGAGTTGACTGTGTACTTTGTTACAATTTACACAGAAAGCTTAAGAATTTATTTTTGCAAGCATGTGTGTGGTTGCTCAGTTTCAGTGCATATGTTCTCTCCCCAGTACCCCTTGCTTTGACATGGTCAGAAGCCTTTGTTTTCCTGTTGTAATCTATCAGCATAACTGTCCCACTCTTGGCCTTATGGACTCCTTAATTTGACCTTCTAGCCTTTGAAAATACTCATTTCAAAAGATTTGGGGAGGCCGAGGCAGGAGTTCGAGACCAGCCTGAGCAAGAGCGAGACCCCATCTCTACTAAAGATAGAAAGAAATTAATTGGACAGCTAAAACTATATAGAAAAAATTAGCCGGACATGGTGGTGCATGTCTGTAGTCCCAGCTACTCGGGAGGCTGAGGCAGAAGGATCGCTTGAGTCCAGGAGTTTGAGGTTGCTGTGAGCTAGGCTGACGCCACGGCACTCTAGCCCGGGCAAAAGAGTGAGACTCTGTCTCAAAAAAAAAAAAAAAAAGAAGATTTAGGGAGCAGTTTTGCTGTTTTTTTAATGTAAGTTAGACACTAAAGGGGAAACTTCCCAAGGACCAGGTACTACCTGCTTGTCAGGTCGGGACTGGTGCAAAGGGGAGTTGAGAGATGACACAGCTGGCTAGGAAGGTTCTTTCCTCCTCAGCTAACACCTCTCTCCCTCTCACACTGTCTGGAACAGGATTGCAGGCCTCTCCCTCTAAGCATGCTGGCTATTCCGTGCGAATGGAAAATGCAGTCCCCATTGTCACTCAAGCTCCAGGAGCTCAGCCTCTTCAGATCCAACCGGGTCTGCTCGCCCAGGTACTTCTTTCTTCTTTATTACTGGTATTATCATTATCCACGTTAATGGTCACAAAAGAGAGATATTTCTACTCCCTCCCTCATTCGCTGGTAATGAGTTAGGTGTTTTCAGTCATTGGAATATATCTGTAATATTCTAAATGATCCCCAAGTGAATTACCTTCCTAAGTGTCTGCTTACAATTCCAAGAAGAAATTTAGATACAGGGAGAGTCTGGGGAAAATATTATTATTATATCTTTGAAATGCAAATTAATCTGCAAGACCTAGGTTTTAATCCTAACTGCTAGTAACTTGTCTGTGACCTAAGGCAAGTCAGTTTATGTCTCTTTGCCTCAAATTTTTTCCTTGTAAAATAGAAATGATTTTTTAGAGCCAAAGGAGGCTTGGAGATTATTCCTTCATTTTATAGTTGAAAACCCAGGCTCACAGAAGCTGTGAACTGGAACCTTCCTTATCTATCCATGTAGGTATTCTGATGGTAGAGTGAAATCACAGAGATGAAAAATGGTTGAAAATTTGTAGAGTATTATATAAATTTAAGGTAACAGTAGTGATGCAATGATAACCGTAATCAATCCTTTATGACACTTGAGCCCTAATAACAAATACATCATTATGCCAGGTACCTTACAGTTGTTAACTGATCTAATCCCCACAACAACACAATAAAGTATTTGCCTCCACTTGACAAATAGGGAAACTGAAGCACAATAACTTGCTCAAAGTCACACAGAAATTAGGTGACAGAATCAAGACTTAAACCCAAGAAGTCTAATGCAAGCATCTGTATTTAACCACCATGCTATGCTGCTGCTGTATAAGCAATTCTGCTGCTGGGCATCAAGGACAGCTTAATGTAATGCTACTAATTTCGAGGCACCTTTATTTTTAAGTAAGGTAGATTTAGAAAGGCTTTTCCCAAAGACACTTTATTTATGGCGTCTTCTTAAATAGAAGTTGTTATTGTTTCAAT